ACGGGGCCACCTTATTTTGCAACGCGGAAGTAAGCTCTTTTCTGTGAATGTGTGCAAGATGTCTGTTTCATTAGCCGCTAAACAACCAGAAGAATAACAAGTGCAGTAAACGGTAAAACTTTTTAATCTACAAACCAGTGTGTTTATGATTACGATAATACCATACCATAGGAATGAATGGGTTAAAGCTAGAAGGGATACAGCTAAAACTACTTGGCATATGCACATGGATACAGTATACTGTTTTTGCATTATTGTAAGGAGTAGGTTTAGGGTTGGGGTACGTGCAAGACGTTAATAAAACAATCTGATGGAAAATGTAATTTATTGTTAGCTTCCGGTTTTAGCTGTATCCCTAGCCACAACCAAATGAATGAGAAGTGCCATAAGCTGAATCCCACCTGTCGCAAAAAGTTAGTGACTTCTCTTTCCCCATTGTAAACTCTCAAAATGGTTCAATCCAAAAGTATTGTTTAGTGTAAAACTTGTTGAAGATTAGCAGATAGGCTGTCGATTCATTAAATGATAAGCGGTTTCCTCTAAAAAGCTGTTTATTTAGTGTAGTGAAGCCTCTCCTCCATTGACATCCATTCAAAAAAAAAAAAGAGGAAAAAAAAGAAAACAGCCTCTGGTCTCCTTTCCCACGTACTGTCAGAGCAGAAACGTTAGCATTAGCCATTATAATTTTTTGGCTAAGGATGCAGGCTTGCCTTCTAGTGGCTTTGAAAATAACAACGCAATGACACTGGAAGCCTCGCACATTCAAGTTACAAATGACCGTACCCGCTGTTACGTGAAAAGTAAGGTGGATAAACGTTCTATACAGAGATTGCTATTTTGTCCACCAATCTCACGTTTTGGGAGACCATTAATAGCCTACTTTTCAAAGTTGTTTTTTTTCAGTCCCCGTTTACTTTTTAATAAGTTCAGTCCTTTTGTGAATGATTTATAAGTGCATGTTATAATACCTTTCTTTGAACAAATTTCCCTCTTCAGCTAAAGTTACCTAGACCACACAGCTGTTTGATCGTTTTTAGGCTACTGTTATAGGTCTTTCTGAAGTCTTTCCATAGTTGTCACAGTAATTTAATACATCAATTTTACTGTAGTAAATAGCAAATAAAGGTAGATTTTATACAGAACCATTACCATTAGGGTACATCTCTGTGTTGAGGCAAAAAATAAATATAGCCTGATTCCTGGGAAAGAAACTTATAAAATCATAGTTTTTATAAACTCTCATTCAGGCTCTGTCTGGCACAAAATGCCATCTTTCACCTGTTCTTTTATTTGTTGAATTGGTGAAATTCATCCTTAAATGGAAATAAAATGTGTTGTGAATGTCATGTTGACTTTAATCCAGTGGATCTCAACCCCCTCATTGTCCAACACAACAATCGAAGATATTACATACTCTGGTATTTCTTTTGTAATTATGGCAATTTTACTTGGTTTTAAAGTTTGTTTGTTTTTTACAGAAACTGGGAGGTTTTTTTTATATTTTAACATTAGGCTATTAAATTAAGTTTTAATTCAATTTGTTACATAATCAATTTTAAGTCATCCTGTGGCCCCACAAGTTTGCTGAGGCCTTGGCCACCTGGTTGAGAACCACTGCTTTAATAATTTCTGCTCTTCTTGAAGCAGGTATTTAAAGCTGTTTACATGTTCATTTAAGTCCCAAAACAGGTCAAACACATTTTAATACCCGTCAACATTGACCAGAAATGCTGTTTAGAATAAACTCTACAGCTCATTTGTAGGAACCAGACAGCTCTTACAAACGTTCACCATGGTAACCATGGTTTCTGCCAAAATGCCATATAAATCACTACAGGCAGTGTTACTACCGTAAAACAAACTTGTTATTAGGCACCACTGTCAACTAATTAAATGCATTTTACACTGTTGAAAGCAGAACCCATAAAAATGTATCATGGGTTTTACATTAGTGACAATAGCAATAATAAGTAGTAAGTTTCTTGTGCTCACTAAGGCTGCATTTATTTGACCAAAAATACAGTAAAACAGTAATATCGTGAAATATTATTACAATTTAAAAAAAGTTTTCTATTAAAATATATTTCAAGATGCAATTTATTTCTGTGATGCAAAGCTGAATTTTCAGCATCATTACTCATCATCAGAAATAGTTCTAATATGCTCAAGAAATATTTATTATTATTAATATCGAAAACAGTTGTGCTGCTTCATATTTTTGTGATAATTGTGATTTTTCCACAATTTTCACTTTTTTTTTTCCAGGATTCTCGGATGAATTGAAAGTTCAAATGAACAACATTTATTTGAAATAGAAATCTTTTATAACATTATAAATGTCTTTACTTTCACTTTTGACCAGTTTAATGCACACTGTAAAAAATACATAGTTGAGAAAACGTTAAAAAAAAAATAAGGCAACTTGATGCAGTAAGACTTTTGAGTTCTCTCAACAATAGTATTTTAGTTCTTCTCAGTAAATATACTTTGTTGAGCCAATGTACATTTGTTTGTTCATGCAATGCTGATTGTCTTATTTTGCTAATAGAAAAATTCTTGTCACAGCAACTGAAACAATGTCGTTGAGGTCATTTATTTTTTTCTGTTTCCTGGAAGAAAAAAAGAATGTGTAATAAATCACCACATTGATTTTATGTTTATTTATGAATGACAAACCCGAATGCATAACTTAGTCTAATATGTAGACAACATTGTCTTTGCTTGTAAAACAACTTACAAGATTAATATATCCAGAAAATGGATATCAGGCTGAACATTCTCTAGGCCTCAAAACTAGACACACAAACCTCAAGAACGGTGGCAATCAACAGATGTTAAAAAGATGAGCTCTTTGCATCACAGTACAACAAATAACTAACAATAATGACAAAACAACAACAAAAAAGCAATGCATGGGAACTCACAAAGCCTTAAAATTTCAACAATATGAAATTCTTTGTTCACATAACTGTGTTTGACTAGTTGGGACAACATTTGGGGTAATTTTGTTTTTAGGGTTTTTATGCAGTTTCAAGAAAATAGCATTTTTTTAGTATTTGAGGCTCAAAAGGTTTCGTCAACAGTGCATACAGTGCATGCTTGCTGAGTCAATTTTTTCAACAAAAACTCCCCCCACACTGGTATTATGTACCAAGATGATCTGATCAGAATTGATAATAGTAGTATTTTACGTTTCTTATACTTAGGAGTTCTTCATATCACCTTGTCAGGTTGTTACTGCAGTAATGTTGTCATAGTATTCACTGAGAGTGTGAGACTGTGTGTGTGTGTGTGTGTGTGTGTGTTTTAACTCAGATTGACTGATAGAGGCTTCAGGGAATTTGCTCGTGGCTTTTGCCTGTAACCTTTATATAAAACCATGTTTTGATTTGAAACGTCTCGCTAACACCTATGACACTGTATTTCAGGAATGAGTTTGCAGAGTGTTTCTGCAAAAGCCAGATGTGCGTCTCGTCAGACAGTTAGGTTATCCGGCTCACATCGAGAGGCTGAGAGTTTTCACGCTGTGTGTGTGAGAATGTGATATTGTCTCTGTGTCGAGTGGGAAGGTCTGTGGCGCGTAATTAGAATATGGGCTCCTGTGTTGTGACTGGCTTCTTTGAGCGAGCTCACCTGTGTGCTTCCTGCTCATTAGAATTCTCATGCATATTAATAAGGAGCAGAGGCGCAGCACGCCCTAGCTTGGCCGCAGGGCATCATGGGAGATTACTTGCATGAGTAATCCCGCTGGCTGGAGTTGGTCCAGAACTCCACAGCTGTCCGTCAAAGCACAGGCGGGCAGAAGGGCATCAGGGTGTGTCGGGGCAGGGCAGTAAAGGGCTAGCGTTTAGCATGGGCTTAGCATTAGCTCATGGAGGAGGAAGTGAATCTCCTTTTGCATCGTAATGAGAGGGTGGTTTTTACGGTGGTTTTGCTGATTAGCTTAGTTTAGGAGTTTGCTTTCTTAATGTCTAAAACTAACGCTGTATGCTCTCTGATGTATCTTCAGTTTCTTTCAGTGTGTAATTCTACCTGTTGTTGACATCTCAGATTCATTAGTGCAAGAAGAAATGTCTAGTGCTGAACTACAAAAACGTGATAGAATCACTTTAATTGCATTTCAGTGTACCATTCTTACATTTTGGGTTGGCAAGATTTTTGAAAGTTTTGAATTTTTTTGAAAGAAGTCTCTTATGTCTAAGGTTGCTTTTGTTAGATTCAAAAATACAGTAAAAACAGTAATATTGTAAAATATTTTTACAGTTTAAAGTGTCAAATTTCTATTTGAATATATTTTAAAATGTAATTTATTCCTGTGATGCAAAGCTGAATTTTCAGCATCATTACTCCAGTGTCACATGATCCTTCAGAAATCATTCTTATATGCTGATTAATAAGTATCATAAAAGTGATCCATATGACTCTTGCAATATATTCCAATATCAAAGTTAGAATGTGTGATATATTATTCAGACTGAATGATTTTATGCTGATTTTTTTATCATTTTTTGGCTTTATTTGCCATTCGTTGCAAATGCATGGAAAAGATTGACCAGCACAATTCTTCATATTTCTTCCTTTTTTGTTCCACAGAAGAAAGAAATGTCATATGGATGGTTTAGAACATCACAAGAGTGAGTAAAATATGTTTGGTAAATAATATTATATATAATAGCAGAATCTTGTAGTGTTATGTTGCTTTAAATGTGATGACACATGTTGCTTCATTTCTCAAAACCCACACAAAAAACTACATTATGGAGGCCAAAATCGTTCATAATAACACGTCTCCACTACGTTAGAATAACCAGCAGTGGCGTCAAGGGAAGGGAACACCCACTTTTCATCAGCCAATCTGTTCCCAATAGATAAAATCAAGTCCTTCCCAACGTTTTTCCTCATTGAACATTCAGTTATACTTGAAAATGTAATAAGTAAAATTGGTTGCAAATGCATTCATGTTGACTTGACATTTTCTCAGTTTTCATTTGTTCATTCAGCTTTCATTCTAAAGCAGCCAAATCAAGTAAACTCAAGAGATTTTTGCTGTATCATTTGATAGAGAACAATGCAAGGTAGGTGAAAATGTCTTTATTTATCCATGTTTATCTCTGTGGTACAGAAATTAGATTTCACAGTTGCTGGAATTAAATGTTTGGTTGCAGAAGAGCAGTATTGATCTCTCCTGCTCCAGCACTCTGAAGTCTATTAGTTTCCACATCATCAAACATATGAAAGTGTATGCCAAATATATGTGTGTGTGTGTGTGTGTGTGTGTGTGTGTGTGTGTGAGATAGAGATAGAGAGAGTGAGAGGTAGGGAGCACAGTAGGGTTCACATACTGTGTGAATACTAATTCAGCTCTCTTGGCAGGTCAGGGTCCCTCTCCTCTCGACATTTACCCATCTGCACCGCAGCACACACTCTCACACGCAGCTCCTGTGGATTACCTAGGCCGCAGGACAGATCCGTTTCTATGGAAACCTCATAGCAGGCCGCATGAGTTAAACGTACACCTCTTGTAAAGTCTCTCCTCCAGGTGTGTGTGTGTGTGTGTGTGTGTGTGTGTGTGTGTGTGTGTGTGTGTGTGTGTGTGTGTGTGTGTGTGTGAAGCACACAGCACTGGGTGAACTGCACACTGACCTGTCACTCAGGTAATTACTGTGTTCTTTAATGAAGGACAGAAAATCTTGCGTTCTTTTCCTGAATATGGTTTTGGGGTAAAGCTTATCAGTGACAGATGATCCTGCTACAAATGCGAAACACCTCAATGTGAACTTATTTGAAACGCATTAAGCATTAAATCAAAAGCTTTTAAAAGAAGACTGTTCTGCTCACCATGGCATGCATTTATTGATCAAAAATAGTAATATTGTGAAATATTATTTCACAATATTACTATTTAGATTCTATTTGAATATAATTTAAAATGTAATTTATTCCTGTGATCAAAGCTGAATTTTCAGCATCTTTATTCCAGTCTTCAGTGTCACATGATCCTTCAGAAATCATTCTACTATGCTGATTTGCTGCTCAAGAAACATTTATTATTATTATCAATGTTTAAAACAGTTGCATTATTTCTGTGGACACTGATAAATTTTTTCAGAATTCTTTAATGAATATAAAGTTCAAAAGAACAGCATTTATTTGAAATAGTCTTTAGTAACATTATAAATGACTTTACTGTCACTTTTGATCACTTGAATGCATCCTTGCTGAATAACAGTATTAAATTCTTCAATAAAAACAAAAATTACGGTCCCTTTTTCCTGGGTTCTCAGAATAGAGGAAGTCGTCATAGTTGGGCAAACTCCTGGTGGTGAACAGAATCTACAACAAAAGCGTTTCTCTAATTATGCTGGCTACTTGTCTCTCATTATCTATAAAAAAAAAGCTTGACTCTCCATAAACGCTAACATACTCACTGTTTCAATACTAAAGCCACAAGATGTAAACAATATGAGTGTTATTATGATTTTAGTAGCAAATAAATCACTTCCTAACGTTTACTATTTTGAGTTTCGAGAACTTTATCTCAGGACAACACCATAAACCCTAAAACAACTGTAAAACACCTTAAATAATGCACACATTTTAACAAAAAAATAAATAATAATAATAATAATGTAAGTGCATTTATGAAATTATTAGATCACATTTCTGCTTTTAATCCCTCCATAAATGAGTTCAGACATTTTCCTCATAAATGAGTTGGTTACAATGCATTTAAATAGTATACAGTACTATCTATAATACTAATCAGACCGTTTAGAATCGTGCAATTAGATGATGTTATTTTAAATGTATAATTTGCAATTCAGCAGATTACAAAGAATATTACAAGACACATTCACATGCTTAATTACAGAGTTCCTTTACTTATTCTGCTTGTAATGATACATTGTAGTTTATTGCATTAGCATGGACACCATAATATAAAGTAAAACCCAAAAAGTAAAATCAAAGTTAGCTGTAAAACTAAACCAAGGGCATTTCTTGTGGCAGTAATGAGAACAGCAAAAAAATAAATAAATAAATTTGAAGATAGACGTTGTCATTTAAAGCCTTTTCAGCCATCTGATATCGTGTGTGTTGGAGAAACGGCGTTAATGTCATAATGTCTATACGAGACGGAGTGTATTACAGAGTATCTGACATTGAGTGTGTGCTTGTGTGTGTGTGTAGGTTACCATTTGATTGACAGGTGAGCAGAGTCTCAGTGCTCTGGGCTTCATAATCAGCAGCTTTATTCCGAGCACAAAGGATTGTGGGAAGAGAGGGATGAGAGAAGACGAGAAGTGCAGAATAGTAAAATTCCCGGAGGAGAGGAGGGGTTGCCTTCTCTCCTTTATTTATTTCTTTGCTTTCCTTTGAACAGGTTCTCAGTGTGTGTGTTTTTGGGAGTGCAGGTAGTGTATTTGGTGTATTTTTGAGTATGTGCGCAGCTCGGAGTGTGTGTTTTGAAACGAGTGTTGTTCTCATTATGACTGAAAGATCAAAAGCGCGATTAATTTCTGAGCACGTCTTCCCTGGTGCTGTTGCTCCAGCTGTTCAGTGCTCCTCATGCCGATAAAACGGACGTTCTGATTGGACGAACTCTTAGTCAGTCAATCAAACGGGTGGGTGGGGCTTAGTGATATTTTTGTATCTAAAATGTTTTCCTGCATTAGTTTGTTGTCTTCTGAGTTTTATAGAACATTTGCCGGGATATGTGGAATTTATTTTGATTTAAACTACAATTTTAAATATTTGTAGAACCTGTATGTTTGAAAACACATCCAGTCTTCTTACTTAATGAGGTTAAGCACCACATTTGAAGTTAAACATTACTATTTCTTCCTTGGATTAATCGCTTTTGCTTGTTTTGGATGAATGAATAGCTGTAAAATTGTGTAATTTCCGCGCTGGACCATTAGTGAGCTGATGCTACTGTGGCTTAAACTTTCCATCCTCTCCAGGCAGCTGCATTTTTTTCCAGTGAAGGTTTTATTCAAGCCGGCGTTTCTCAGAACTGCTGCTGAACCTCATTTACTTCAGCTCCAGGAAGTCAATAGCATCACTTCTCTTTCCTCTCTGCTTTTTCTTTTCTCTCTTTCGTCTGTAAATTTAAGTTATAACCGTAAAACCTAAAACGTTGCTACCGTATTTTTTACGGTAAATTTCCGGCAACCACAGCTGCCGGTTTTTTCACAACGTTCCTTGGCCGTCAGTCGGTTTATCTGCCTTTTCGTTGCATCTTTCTTTCTTTCTTTCCATTCCTGACCGTGTGTCCACGTGTTTCAGGAAGGATTTTACAAATGTTTCAAGTGATTGTTGCTCAGCAAATAAACTTCGGGTGATTGTTCAAAACCCAAATCATCTTGAGGAAAACTTTTGTTAGAGCCTTTGACCATCTAACTCTATCTGCTTAGAGTTTTCCTGCTTAGAAGATGCCATAGTTACCAATATTTACAATTTCCGAGCCTGTCTCCTTCTCCGAGTATTTTTGTGCAGTCGTATAAGTGATTTTCTCCTGTTTTGCCTGCTGATTAAGCTCATATCCATAAACAAAACGACCTCGTTTAACAGATTACAAAGGAATTACACGATCAAAGAGCAGAAGTCGGGATGTATAAGAGAGTGGGAGAGAGAGCGAGTGTGTGTGTGAGTGAGAAGGAGATTGTTTGTGTGTGAGGAAGAGAGAAAGAGATACACCTCTTGCCCTGCTCTATCTGATATGGGAATCCATTTTGTGCTGAATGAACGTAACAGCTAATCCCGCCCTCTGGTACAGGCCTCAGGGTCTCTGACACTCACACACACACACACACACCCAGCAGACACACTGTGCATTTACATGCATTCAAAGAACCAACATTTTGTTGCGTTCCAACATGTTTTTATAAATTCACACTGTTTTGTGAATGAATACTGATTGATTTGCACTAAATAATGTGTGCTCGAGAGGGCAGGCTGCAGTAGTCACCAAGTTTACTTATTTATTTAAAGTAGCATGCTATTTACTCTCAAATAAAACTTCATTGACATATGAATGTGCAACACCACATGAATAGTATCTGTTCTAATTGGATTGCAATGAAAATGGTGTTGCCATTGAATCCGATTTCAGCGGTTTCGAGACCGATAGAAGCTAAACACATAGAATGTAGTAGAGAGGAGATCTTTAACCTTAAGGAGTTTGTGTATGTTAATGGTCATACTGAGCAGTTTGGCTGTACTATCATGATTAGTAGTGAACCGTGTTGGGGAAATTTACTTTTAAAAGTAATGCATTACAATAGTGCTTTACTCCCTTTAATTACATTAGTTACTTTTTATGGAAAGTAATGTGTTACGTTACTTTTGAGTTACTTTTTAAATCTGGGCGGGGTTTGCTTGTTTGTTTTTAATATAAAAAAATTATTTTACAAATGTAAAAGCCCTTTTCACAACAAAAATGAAATGAGAATATGCCTCAGGCTGAAGGAAATTTAAATTAATGTCTATACAGTAGAGGGCGCAACTCAAACAAATTGCATGAAGAATATGATGCAGGAGAAGAAAGTTCAACGCTATTCAGCAATAACAAAAATTAAGCCCAAATGTGTCATTTTTGCTTAGAATGGTTGAATTGGATCATCGAAGGTCAGTTACAAAGACATTGGTTAATTGGGATTAATACATAAATTATATTTGGCTTATTTAACATTTAATTATTGCAGGTTTGTATAATATTCTGAGTTTGCCTTTGACTGTTTTTATTCATTTTGAGGAATACGGAATCTGTTTTTGTGCAGGTGAGACGAGCCTAAATACATGTTCATATTTAGTCTAGAACTACAGTAACATCATGTTCACACAGCACGCACAAGGCCTGTGCACTTACTCCCAATTTCTCTCAACATGGCAACATGAGAGCTGTCAGTCAAGACATGGGAAACAAAGTAACTCCATTGATAACTGTAGGATGGATTATAAATTTAGCTATCCAACTATAAACAACTGTTTAATTTATCGTTTTTGTCATCTTGTTGAATACCCTCTGCTAAGAAGGATGAGTAGGCTAGTAATGACAGATAATCTAGATTAGGTGAAATTGGATTAAACTGGTCTGGATTAAAAATCAAACTACATGTTCAGTCACTGAAAAGCCCACTGAACATGAAAGAAGGATTATAATTTAATGTAAGTGAGTTTTCCTCACTGTGTAGCTCTGGTGAACATAATGGAGTATTGATCCATTTCCATGCCCAAAATTGAGTTTATAATATGACTTTTGATGGTGAACTCCACAAACTGCCCTCTACAGGTTGAGGGATTTTTTTTTCTTCCATTTTTGAGATTAATCCCATTTTAGCACATGAAGTGCTTTTAAATTAAGAATTATCTGAGCACTATTGTGGTTATATAGCCTGCACTGTTGAAATTATGTTGAAGCTTTAAATTGCTATAAAACCGACTGAGCATAGCATCCAGAAGTTTGGTGAGTTCACCGGACAGTAACGCTCCGTTTGTAACAGACATTTGACTCGGAACTAATGAAGAAATGAAACGGAAACAAACGATGACAGAAGTTAAAGACTGTGTCATCGATCAGATGCTGTATGTAGAATTTATTCCTTTAATTTGTCAATTCCAAGTTCGATTAAAAATAATGCTTCTAGGCAGGTCTTTTCTGTAGCCTAACTGAATATTAGTAGGCCCATTTTTAACGAACTTTATATAGCCTACATTAGCTATGTGAATTATTGTCATTATTATTTTTTATAAATTTTATAATAGCCTGTGAAAACAATTTTGAGGCCTTCATTGCGGTTTTATGAGTTTTGGTTTGTGTTTGTGCGCATGTGTGTGTCAGCGCTCTACCGTTATTTTGGCAGATTGTTCTTTTAATTAACACTCATTTTGCGCGCATCTGGCACGTGTATAGATTTAAATAAATTTTTACGATTCAGCTTAGTTCACTCAAGGAAAAATAATACACTGGCGGTCAGTGGTGTTTGTTTACTGGACGAAATGAATTTGCAGTTGTTCATTTGTCAAGAGACTACATTTGGCTGATTTTTTGACAGATCTAGGGTTGGATCTAGGAGACGGGAGAGAAACTGTTGAGTGTAAGTAGTTTAAATGCTCTCGTACGTTTTTGATCAACAGTTTCTGTGACTGGAGTCTTTCACCGACCATTTATTGATTGTTTTTTGGAAGGTAACGAAAAGGACCGAACAGTCCAGACGGAGGCCTCATCGTGGATTTTTTGAGGTAAATATCTAATCATATTGTCTTTTTACAGCTAACTTTTCATGGCATAAATTGTGTGAAGTTTTTTATGTTATATGTATCTATTTACCCAGTTAAACATCTAATGAAATTAACCAAAAATTTTCCCAACAGAGAACATTTATTTAGTGCACTTCATTAAATACGCCAAACACAACGCGCTGAAACTGACGCGGCGCCCCTCCCACTCCAAATCTATTAGCTTATAAAACTCTCTGTGTGTGTGTGTGTGTGTGTGTGTGTGTGTGTGTGTGTGTGTGTGTGTGTGGTAAATGTAGGTCACATCGATGAGAACTGCATACTTTGTAATTATAATTATCTCGTAAACACCTTATTTCGTGTTTTACAGTTTAGAGAGCCGTTACTTAACGGACGCCGACACCACACTGTAAAAAATGCTGGGTTGTTTCAACCCAACTTTGGGTCAAATATGGACTAACCCAACTTTTGGGTTAAAAATTTAATGTAAAAATTTAACCCAACGATTGGGTTAGTCCATATTTTACCCAAAGATGGTTTGAAACAACCCAGCATTTTTAGAGTGCATATTGAGCTTCACTCACATCCTCAACTAGCTGAACTTCATTTGGCCACTTGTCAAATAGACTAGGCTACACAATGTAAAACAAACAATATTTTCAATATAAAGTGTATGAACTTAAGTTGAATTAAAACGTTTTTATTTTCTCTATCACTGTCCTATATTTTAGATTCACTCTATATTTATAGCAGTCAAAATTTTAGAGGTCTGATAGCCTAACTGGTGTCAAACTTTGTTTAGAAAAAAAAGAGCAACGCTCTGGCAAACTTTTTGAGAGCGTCGATTTTTTTCTTTAAGAAAGTCTGTTTTTAATCACCAATGGTGGTTATTAACAAATGTGGGTAAATATAACGTTTGAACGATCAGTTTCTGATAATAAGACCTTCCATGCTGAACTGCTCATAAATTAGCCATTGTAAAATTGCAAAATGACTAACTCTACAGTTGGATAAATTGACCATGTTTACACATAGGCTACTGATATTTCTATACTAGTGTTTTCGTCTTTCAAACTTTATTGGTTATTGTAACTTTCTTTAAACGTTTGAGTGTCTGCCAAAACATTTCGATCTTGTATGTTGATATGGTTCCAAATTAATTCAGGTTTTAAGAGTCACCAGCATATTTGCCTTAGTTTTTGATTGTTGCTGCTCCAAATGACAGTTCTTATGATCTGGTGGCAGCCAGCTGCCAGTCACAGTTTGCGACGCTTTTAATCCAATGTTAAATCAGTTACAGTCAACTCTGGGTCAATGTACACTGGGATGGACACCTCCTCTAAAGTTTAATTTTGCATCTGTTATTTTTATTTCTGATTTTCCATGGATTGGTGGCGGATTTACGTGGTGGAACCATCTCGAGGAGCATCCAGACCGAACGGATGGACTCGAGCCCTGACCGGTATAGCGTGCATATGTGCATCCGCTGCTTTGCGCGTTAAACCCTATTAAAACCGTCTACCGTGCAACTGGGGCTTCGCTCAATCCCGCGAGCTCTCGCAGACTACACAAACGAAAGCTTCTAATCCCTCACGTGAGAGGACGGGTTCTCTCGTGCTCACATCGTGTAATTTACAGTCTGCCTGGAAGCCTTAGATATATATCTGAAACCAGACCGTGTTATTTCATAAGAGCCTCCTGCTGGGCGATTCATTTCCACAGTCACCTCAAGACCTTTAAAGTGCATTTACGCCACAACAACCAACTCATTTTATTCGATTATCATGTTTTTGTTATTCAGCGTTGAGTTTACGAACCATTTGTTGGCTATATTCGCTAAAATTTTTGTAGTTTAGCCTACATTGTGCTATGTTAATCTGAATTAATCCTGGTGTTGGGTCTTCGAGGTTCATATATTTCCGTTTCTTTCCTTTCTGTTTTGTTTGCCAGAGAAACAGAGAGAGAAAGAGCCAATGATGTAGGCCTGCTCAATAATGTCTACTTAAAATAACATCAGTCGTTTTAGCTCGCCCATTAAATGAAAATAAATTGAGGCTTCCCTTCTCACACGTTGTTTTGCGGGTAAAACATTTATGAAGCGGAATACGTCAGTAGTATACGTGTATGTTTGTGAGAGGATCCTCCCTTTGCGCGAGACACCGGGCGCTCGAGGCGTCTCCGTCCGCGCTTCTCATGCACGAGGGCGCGAGCCCGCGGTAATTTGGGTTAAATAAGGGGAGCATCAGCTTTTTAAACCCTTAAAAACTGCCAAAGCTCTCGTAGACACAAAAACCTAAAGACTCGGGTATTTTGCTGCTGGGGAGGGAGGAGACATTCAGAAACACTGAGAACGAGGCGAATGACTGGGGCTGACTTAAACACACACATTTGCACATGAGCAGAAAGTCTTACTGATACAGTGTTAAACGTCATTAGAGGTTTTATTTTCCTAGGAACAATATATATATATAGCTATTCATATTTTGGATTTTTTTTTAACATGCTATTGTTAAAACGGGTGTCCAAGTCTTTTCATGCACCTGTGTGGCTCTTAAAGCGTAAATTTGACCGACAGGCTGATTTGAGCGATGACCCCCCACGCGCGTCCCACTCATCATCCTAAACGTGCACAAAGCACTTCCAGCGTGGGTCACTGTCCCAGTTCGGTTAGCGGTGAACAGAACAGAAACAATAAATGTTGATTGGATTGGCAGCAAGAGAATTAAACTGAATCCAAATTGACCGTGCAGCACCGATTTGGTCAAAAGCCATTACTAAACTCCCTACTAGGCCTATATTAAAGTAGCTATCTAAAATAGGCTACTAAATGAATTAAATAATAATGTGGTCGAATTATTGTATACAGCGGACGATAAAGTGGTATAAATAGGCTATTTGCATTCCATGGTATTAAAACAGTCTTTAAATAATTCGTAGATTTAATATTCTTCTGCTGTTTAATGTTTTTGTGCAACATTATTTCCAAACGAATTGTTCGATTATAATTATTTAAAAAAATGCATTGTGATGATAAATAAGAAAACGTAAAAGGGAAATATTCGTTCTTCCATATCTGCAATTAATTTTGCTTCCATGCAAGTGTCTCTCATTCAGTTAAACAGAAATTAAAATATTTGATAAAAACAGATTTAAGACCACACTGTGAAGCAGTGAAATAACAAAACAAAACGTTTAATCGTGCAATCCAAATTACAGTGACACAATACACCGAGTTAAACTTACGTGTTGCTGAAAAAATCCAAAAAGCAGGTAAATGGTAAAGCCGCGAGGAAAACAGGGACAAATAAAACTGGCCCTGCTAAAGAAAGCACAATCGACCTTAAAGAAATGTCCACAAAAATCATCAAAAATGTTGAAAGCGCACTTGGTTCCTTATTAGGCGAAGATACAATATTTATTCCGTGTCTCCAGGGATGAGGCTGCTCTCTCTATTGTCCTCCCTTTCCTCAATGCTGATGCTTAATTTTCAAAACTTCTATATTACCAAGGGACCTACGACATCAGCCGGAGAAATACCCAGCAAGTACAAAATCCGAGCCAGGGAGCGCTTTGTGCAGAGGGGAGGCATTTCAGCCGCTTTTACCGACTGCGCGATTTCATTTTCACGCGCTATTTTGGGGATTTTTTTTTTCTTTCATTCGTCCAACAGCGCGAGGAAATCGGGTTATTGGATCGCGAGAATGTCAGCCACATTTCCGGGACTGGTGCACGATGCGGAGGTATTTAAATTCATTTCTTATCACCTCACAAAAATCGTTTAATTTAATTTCATTTAGCGTAGCATGGCATGGAGGGAAATTACGATCACTTAGCACAGCGGAATGGACGTCAAGACTTCTGAGGGGAGTTTGCTGCGAGGCGAGGAGAAATACCATGTGTTAGTTTCTAGTGAAAATGGCTTTTACTATTAGTTTTTTTTTTGGTGGCGAATATGGCTCTCTAGTTCATGTAAAAGTCTCTGCCGTGATTGGAACCGTTTGCTCGTTCTTTTTATATATGTCATAATAATTATTAGTGCAGACTCTCGTGTCTTGTGCTGACCTGCGGTGAAACGGGCGTAGACTGTTGGCACAAAACGGCTTTTAATAGAGTTTGCACGGATGTAGTAATAATAATATAGTCAAATAACACACTCCGCGGCAAATGATAGACAAGTGAGGGAGGGAAAAAAAACGCTGTGAACTCGTGGAGCAGTTTGCAGTGTGTTTCACGCACTCCCTCCCAGGCACTGAGAGATGACATCGCCGTCAGGTACGTTTCTAAAGACACTTTGAGCTGCTGTGTGTGTTTGTGTGTTTGGGGAAGGTTTGAGTTTCCGCAGCGTGAGAAATGCGCGCGGATCGCTGCGAGCGCGTGTAAATGACATCCCTCATATTTTTCTCTTTTTTCCCCGCACAGATACGTCACGACGGATCAAACAGCTACCGTTTGATGCAACTCGGATGCTTGGAATCTGTGGCCAACTCGTCTGTCGCTTACTCTTCATCGTCTCCGCTTACATACCCAGCTACCGGAACCGAATTTGCCTCCCCGTATTTTCCGACGAACCACCAGTACACGCCCTTACACCACCAGTCCTTCCACTACGAGTTCCAGCACAGCCACCCGTCCGTGAACCCGGATGCGTACTCGTTAAACTCTCTCCATCACTCGCAGCAGTATTACCAGCAGCTCCATCACGGCGAGCCGGCGGACTTCATCAACCTTCACAACGCCCGGGCGCTCAAGTCCTCTTGCCTGGACGAGCAGCGGCGGGAACTGGGCTGCCTGGACGCGTACCGCAGGCATGACCTGTCAATCATGAGCCACGGCTCTCAGTATGGCATGCACCCCGAGCAAAGACTGCTGCCCGGGGCGGGTCTGGGGCTGCCGCCATCGGGGGCCGATGACCTACAGGTACCTCACTGGCATTTCTACCGTTCAAGCACAAAATACACACACTCAACGTGCCACCACCGTCTCACACGCACGCAGGCTGCAGAGAGGTTGACGTCTTCAGGGATGTTGTATAGTCACTTTCACTGCCCGAACCGAAGAAATGATTGCCCGAGGGCTTCGACAAAAAAACCTTAGACGTCAGGAGAGTCTGAAAGAGAAAAATCGAAGCCGAGCGATCGCTTCTTTTCGGCGTTTTCGTTTTCTCAAAACAAATTAATGTAGCCTAATAACGAACAATGCATTAGTATTTCGAAATAGCTCATTAAAATCGTCAAATAAATTAAATAAATTAAAAAATCGTCTGATTTGCAGAAATGCGTTATTTCCCAACATGTGAAATAAGACTTTTTAAACCTATATTTCGAAACGTTTGGAGGCACCATTTTTTCAGTTGATTTAGCTGGTGGATTTTACATATTTAATATAGTGAATATTGAGAAGTCTGAATTCGGATGCGCATATGTCGGGCCTCGCTGCTGTAAAGCCGCTGTTTCTTTTTCCTCCGTTAAAAGGCGGATTAAGGGCTTGAAAAAGTGCGAACAAAAGGCAAATCCTCCGCAGTAGAGCACCGTAGTTTATCCAATTTAGGACTTAATGTCAATCAACTGGTTATTTATGCACAGACATCTGAAACAGCTCAAGTTTAACCGGCGAGTCAAAAATATGTTAAAATCTAAATAATTATACAATCCTTTTAATACTTCAGTGAAATTGAACAGATAAAATATATTGCTTTTGAGAGAACATATTTTAGCTTGCAGATTACATTTTTGTATTTATTTATTTTACTCAAATAAAATTCTAATAGGGTATTTAAATGATAACATCGACGTAATCCAATTTATAGAATTAATAGAAATCGTTTCTTATAAAGATTAGATAATAGTAAAATACGGTACCAATAGGCTAACTAATATAAAGAGTGTAGTAAATGTAAACATTCGTATTGCTTTGACTAATAATAAAAAATAAATAATTGTTGAATAATCAATTTTTGATTTGCCCGTCATGTTTTATAGGGCCTGTTTAAATAATAGCCTGAAAAAATAACATCACCAATATAGCCTACGTTTTCTATTTTTACAATTTTATTTTATTTTGCAATAGCATAATTTGTCAGAAAACATTCGTAAACTGTTTTAAGCTATTTTAGCAGAGATATTATTTTATCACATGATTTTTATCATATGGTATACTTTTGAATAATAGCTTCACAAAAACTGATAAAGTAGCACAATAGTATAAAGTTTAGACGTGTTTTCTACAAAAAAAGTCGTGAAGACTCATTTTATTATTGCTGTCGCGTGTTCAGGAACATTCCGCACACGCAAACACACACACACACACAAAGGCCCACAGGAGAACGGACACAAAAACACAGAAAGCAACACATACGTCCCGTGAAAAGGTTTTGGACCTTTCTTTGGCGCTGAATGAAACCGTGCACTCGGTGAAGGCCGCGGAACAGATGCGGTCAGTCTCGTGCGCACAAGCGCATCTTTGAGCCGCTAAACAGATTTGGCACGCGGAACAATAGAAACTGCCGCACCTTTAACACGCACACGCGTAATTTATGCCTGATCCGAAGGGTTTGTATATTGATTTTATAATCACTTTAACTGCGGGGAAAATAAAAAATAGAGCATGAGTTTGTTAAAGGGTTATAAGAGGTTATAAGAGTGTCAGTATGGATGTGAGCGTGTGTGGGTGAATATGTGTGCTTTATTTATTTTTTGAGACTGTGTCTCTGACTTGGCCTCCAGACTGGTCGTGGCTCGTGAGACGGATTAACTCTTTTCTTTTGATGCCATCCAGTGTTCCTTTGGCTGATGACATCACTGATAAAAGAAAGCAAGATAATCTGTTGGTTTGACATCATAATGTAACCGGTTCCGTTACTACTGCAATTTAGCTACCTGTAACCACGTGGTCTGTTTATTGTTTAATAAGTCACATGCCTCGTCAAAACCTAAATACTGATCATCATCACCATGTATAAGATTAGTTTATTATTGATAATGAAGTTCATATATGTGTGCGTGTGTGTGTATGTGTGTCTAGGGATCTGTAGACGCGCAGTGCGGACTCGGGTTAAATGGACAAGGTGGAGTGATTCGGAGAGGTAAGGTCACAACAAGAGAAGCACACACTCATTTAATTATTTTTTTATTTATTTCTAATTATATTTTCACTAACGCCAGTCTTGACTGTTAACTATGATTTGAATTCTTATTGTATAATTACAGGAGAATATCATTAAAGTAAATACGAAAAAAATTATCATCGTTTTTTGTATATTTAATAGCCTACGTACTGCTTTCCAGTGACAAGCACAAGGTTTTAATATTTTAGCATAAGCATTTTAGCCTTTTTCATTTAAAGATAGGCTACTAAAAATCAGCGTTGGTTTTATTCATTTATGAATCCAAAAATATTGTTTTAATACCGAAAACTGTAATAGTAATATTTTAATAAAAATTATAGGAAAATAATTTCTTAGTAATATCTTACAATTTTGTCTTTCCTTTCATAAGGAATTGCATTAATGTGAATGTCAATCAACAGGCCTACTGCTTTCATTGTTAGACTGTTAAATTATTACTGTTGTTGAAAGAAAAAAATAAATGCAACAAAGAAATAATAAACATTTCAGTATCGTCAGGAAAAAATTCAATGAATTTAGCTTAATTAAATGCATATTGTATTTACATAGGCTATTTGATGCAACCATTTTTTGTCCTCAAGTAAAAGGGTGCAAATTCATTTTAACGTATTATATCTGAAAAGGCAAATCTTGGATGTTCAAAATTATTATTAGTATTACTATTGGTGTTTATGTTGTCCTAGACGTTCGTATTTCTTTTCACATGTGTATTACTTGTATTGAAATGAATGTTACCTTTTGTCTCAAAGCATGTTTACTATCTGACGTCGCAATTCAGGCTGCATAATTAAGGAACTATATCTTTTTCAGAAGTTCAAACCCCGATAAAACATACATTTCTCAAGGTCATTCTCCACTGAGAGCCGTTCAAGATAATCTCAGAAGAATTTCAGTATTCTCTGTCTGTCTGCCGCGGTATTTTGTAAAACCGCGAGTCTTGTGCGGATGAATCGAATCGCGTTCCGCGTTTCTTAATATTTTCTTAATATCAGTCGCATCTTTGTCTGACTCCTCAAAGCTGCAGCGGATCGACACGTGTGGAGTTTGCCATAAAGCGAGCGGTGTCTCGGGCGCTTAATTTTTAATAAACTCTGTCTAGGTGTTGGGCTCGCCATCACTTCCAGTTAATGGTGTGCAGGATTTAGCCGCGAGCTCCGCCGCTCCAACCATCACAACCAATAATCATTGCTTTACCTCGCGCTCCGGTATCGATAGCTTCTCGCGCCTCAGGCGCACGCTTTGATATGTTAATGCCGCGCGGATCCAAATTCAGTGGAGATCATATTAATGTTGTTCACACTGACTGCAGCTTTGGCTTCGTTGAATATTCAGATAACCTTTTTCAAAAGAAATCAGTCAAGAAACGAGGATCCTACTTAGAAAAGTCGTCCGTGTTTTAATCATGATTATCCCTCTTCGCTTTCAGGAATTTGATCAAGCTTCACCCCGCCTTTACACGCGCGCGCACCGCACCGTTCTCTCGCCTATGTGTGTGTTTTGGGTGATGCGCCGTAAACACACACTACCGCTACAGTTGAAATGGAAACAGAATGACATTTGGCCTATGTCTTTTTTTCTTTCATTTTCGTGGCAAACTCGCAAAAAGCGCTTGATTCGCTTTGTGATCGCTCGCGCGCTGCCTCGGGCTACTCTCCCTCGCGCTTAAATACCCGCTATCGCCTCTGGGCCCGGCGCGCGCGACCAGACTACCGGCAATAGCTCTTTTTCAATTGCCCTTGGCAACATAAAATACAAACTACTTTGAATCAAAACATTTTGGGTGGAATTAATGTGAAGTGAACTTGCATGCTAGCAGAGATCTTGGGTTTGTCAGAGTGCTTTATGGTGACTGATGAGGAGCAGGTTAGAGGCCCGCTAGCCAGAAAACTCCTTGAGGAACACACACGTTCACACACTCAAACACAAATACACACACGTGGCTAAATAAGGTAGCTGAGCCATTGATTGCAGCTCGAGCTGAACTTGTGATCTTTACAACATGGATCTAGGTGTGGTATGGATCTGACATATACAGTGCTTAATAAATAAATGCGTACTATTTTATATGCAATTAGATGTGCAAAAAACTAGCCTACAAAACAGAATTATTCACACAAGTGGTTGGCATGAAATAGCTACTTACAATTATTTTAATTTTAGTGGCATTTTTAATAAGTTGTATGCATGCTTGTTCGTATTTAACTACATGGAATATTTGCACTCGTTTGTCACACCACATGATCTATTGAAATGAAGTATAGAAAGCAAAAATACCTACAATACATACACTCTTAAAAATAAAAGTGCTTCACGATGCCATAGAAGAACCTTTTTGTCTAAATGGTTCCATAAAGAACCTTTAACATCTGAAGAACCTTTCTGTTTCACAAAAGGTTCTTTGTGGCGAAAGAAGGTTCTTCAGATTATAAAAAGGTAAGAAAGAGATGGTTCTTTAAAGAACCTTTGACTGAATGGTTCTTTGTGGAACCAAAAATGGTTCTTCTATGGCATCGCTTGAAGAACCTTTTGAAGCACCTTTATTTTTAAGAGTGTAAGCTTGTCTGTATGTCATGGACACGCTATGTGTCATCGGCCACTCATATGCAACTGCACAGCTTCAATGCATGGTTTTAGAAATAGTTGCAAAATAAAAAAGCATTATGAATGATTATGCATCATATTAAATTGATTTCTTTGCAGTTTTATTCAGTTACCAAAGCTTGCATATGGATGATTTTCAGAACATGCAAACACCGTCGCCGGTCATTTCCAAAGGTTTGACATGTTGTGGTTTGTTGTTGTGCACATGCAGGTGGCACGTGTGTAGTGAACCCTACAGACCTGTTCTGCTCTGTACCAGGAAGACTTTCTCTACTCAGCTCTACCTCAAAGTACAAAGTCACCATCGCTGAAGTCAAACGCCGCCTGTCTCCTCCAGAGTGTCTCAATGCTTCACTACTCGGTGGGATTTTAAGAAGGTAAGAGATGAACTTTAGACACATGAAACTCATGCACACGTTTGGAATTTTGAAAGGAAGCATCCAATTCTGAACCAACTAAGGCTTTAGGAAACCATGTCTAAGAGAAGCACAGTTTTACAATTAGTAATCCAAAATAATTTCTCAAGGCATTGAAATACGCGTAATGAAAATGAAGGAAATTCCTTTTTTTTTATTTAGTTCATTGGCAAAACAAAACGCAAGACAGAAAGAGGAAAAAGAGATGGGACATGGAGTCCTGGACACTTAATCCAGAGATAAAGAAGAGAATGTGGCTGGATGTGTGAGAGAGAGAGAGATGGAGAGGGAATGAGAACAGTGAAGCTGAGGTTCCATTATTGATGAGGGACACAGACTGGAGAGCAGAAATGAGGCCAGTGATGAGAAGAGAGGAGAGACACACACACACACCCATTTTAAACACGGGACAACACATGCTGGTAAAGCTCAGGTTCATTACCGCCTGCAGAAACAAAAGAATCGACAGAAAAACATTGAGAAATTTAGTCTGTAAGGAAAAATGGAATATTGGTCTTTATACACATTATAGTCTGAATGAAGCCGATGCATGGGCAAAATAAGCATTGTGATGCTTAGTCTTAAATATTTTTTAAATTGCACCGTTGAAAAAAAATGTCAGGACTCATTTTAGTTAGTTTAGGTTTAATAATTTAAAAGCATTTTGAAAAAAGAAAAAAAAAAAGACCACAGCAAATGCTCTACAGTGGATATGAAATGCGACATGTCAGTTGCATGTAAGCATGTTGCTGATGGACTTTCTCCATCTGTGTGGGTCAGGGCCAAGTCAAAGAACGGCGGTCGGTGCCTCAGGGAGAAACTGGACAGGTTGGGACTCAATCTCCCAGCAGGCCGCAGGAAAGCAGCAAACGTCACACTGTTGACCTCTTTAGTGGAAGGTATGGAGTCATTTGTGCTTTTTTTTAAATAATGGCGTATCTTGTTTATCTAGTTCATGGTTGTTTTCATATGCATGCTTTTGTTTCTGACATTGAATACTGTCTTGATTTGATGAATTTGGTTTGTTGAAGTTGTTTAAAGCAAGCAGATATAAAATATGATGTAAAATGTGAGCAACTTGTTTATATTTTCGTTCTATTTTATTTAATATCTAGTTTTTAGGACCTGTTGAATGCATTTTTGCTATTCAACAGGTTGTAAGCGTGATATTGATGCATCTGGTTTAGTTTCTATTTGTTGTGGATGAGCTCTTATTAAGATTGAAACAAATCTATTCTGGCATAAAAGAAAAAGTCTGAAATATTTTTAGTCTACAGACAAAATCTCTATTACTCAAGGGAAGAGTTTAAGAATTAGAATGGTGTGAGACAGATTGATGCAACATCTATGCAATTTTTTTAGGCAGCAGTTAGAGATTGAACTGATTTCTCTGCTCCATTCATCCCTCATCTTCTTCATCTGTGTGTGTGTGTGTGTGTGTGTGTGTGTAGGGGAAGCGCTACATCTGGCTCGGGATTTTGGTTACACCTGTGAGACAGAGTTTCCCACCAAAGCGGTCGGGGAGCATCTCGCCCGCCAGCATACAGAACCAAAGGAACAGAACGCGCGCAAGAAAATGGTGCTGGCCACCAAGTAAGACAGCAGTTCTTTACTACTTTTAGCCAAATGTGTTTATGCATACCACTTAATTGGATAGACATTTGAACTTGAAATAATACATTTCTAAATGAGACCTTCATATGCACCAAATTTGAATGATCTAGTGCAGTCTGTCTTCATAAGAACTCGTCTTCAAAATCAGATGCACCTTAGAGAATAGGTTTTATTATTGAGGATTGGAGGAAAGGATACGTGTTTGCATGAGTGTAACGTATGAAAACTAAGATCTCATTAAATCTGCTCTATGCATTAATTATGAGGAACGCTGCTTTGGTTTGCATTTTGAAAATGCGTTCTTGTAACTGTTCGAATGGCTGTGTGTGACTGCAGGCAGATCTGTAAGGAATTTCAGGATTTGTTAAGTCAGGATCGATCTCCACTTGGTTCCTCTAGACCAACACCTATTCTGGACTTGGACATTCAGAGACATCTAACACACTTCAGGTATAAAGTCGAAACCTGCATGCAAAAATAGAGCAAACATCCATGCACCTTATGCAAAAAATAACCATAAGACTTTAGATTCATGAGCCGATACAGGTAACAAAAGTGCAGTAAATTGTAAACCTATTTGCATTTATGATTAAAATTATAAACTAAAATAATATAAGTTTGCAATATCAAGCAGCAAAACTGACTGTTTTTGTACAGCTACAATTACTGGAAGTCTTGCACATTCAAGTTATTAATAAGGGGAATATGCTAATGCAAGTATTGTTATTAATCACCATTTTTATTATCTTTTTTTAGTCTGATCACGCATGGATTCGGTACGCCGGCAATTTGCGCGGCTCTTAGCACCTTTCAAACGATTCTCAGCGAAATGCTTAATTACCTGGAGAAACACTCAGCCAATAAGAACACGGGAACACCGGACACCAACCAGATCAACTCCAACTCTGACAAAACACTACGCAAAACCACCGAGTCACAGATGAAAGACGGTAAAATCGAGAAAACGGAATGACTCTGACACAGGAGTGGCCGCTTTCCCACTTCCTGATCCGAGCCCTGATGGGTGGGCCTCGTTCAGGGCGTGGCTACTGGGGGCGGGGTTACAGGGTTTTTATTCCATATGGGTTTTATTTATATAACTGGCATAACTTCCTATGACCTCAGCTTTCCCTGTACCAGAGTCTGTCTGTATGTACCAACCAGTCACGTCATTCTCACTGCCCGACGAACGCGAACCATTTTCATTGTTTTCTAAGTTATCGAAGAAGTTATTTTGCTTAAAGTTTGTCTGTATGTAATTAGTTTAAATTAATGATTTAAAAAATGCAATATCTTTTATTAAAAGACTCGCATTCCATTTTTGGCAAGACCTAATTTGAGGTCAGTTTGAGACTGTAAATTATTACAGGTAACTTTCCCTGTTAGTTACTGTATATTGTGCATGTTAAACTTTGTACACCATCTGAAACTGACATTCCCCACTGTTGTTCCAAAACACGAACTCTTGACTGCATTTGTAAAAAAATTATATATAAATATATAAATTCAATCTTTTCTTGTAGGCTTTGAACTACATATAAATAACCCTACATGCAAACTACTGGTGTTCAATAAAGCATATTGCTCAAAGTCTTATATTAACTCACCTTACTGGACTTGAATTCTTCTGCTTCTTCTTGGATACGAATCTTTATGTGCATTTGAAATGGATTCGATACCGACAACTCCTTATTGATTAATCAGGCACATACTTCAACCTAACAACCTGCTGCAGCCGAAAAATCTCACTCACCTGGGTCGGTCCTACATGTTAAAGAAGTGGTTTTTACCCAGACAAGTCTTTGGCTGACCTGCCTCTGGCTTTTCATCATCCTATTTCAGGAGATCTATAGTAGCCTACCTTCCTAGAGCAGCTTTTCAATGAGCCTGAAGACCTTCAGTAGCTGGTTTAGGTTTAATAGATTTGTAAGTAAATGCTGCAGGAAAGTATTTGCTTTACCTCACTCATTTACACTTTTATTTCATTCACAAAGAATGAAAATACCCAGTGAACTCATTCAACAAAACACTGAGGAACTACTGGGAGAACATTATAACGAAAAGAGAGAGTAGAAGCAGCTTTATTTATACAATTATTGCATTTTATTCATTCTAAAAACAATCACAATGCAGCTAAACTTGATTGTTTGGACTATTATTGAATACATTACGAAAAAATGGTTGATGTAGAATAAATTAAGCACCCAAGCAGAACAGATCATTAACAGCACAGAAAGACCAATGCTGCACTGGAAGGCTTTACAAAGTCAATAACCGACTGACAGATCGATGCGAAGCTTTGCACAAGATAAAAGCGATTCGCATTCATATTCACATTTTTTGGGAGGAAAACGCTGTCTGATCTCAGTACTTTCAATAATCAGCGACTAGTCTATGTTAACGAACGTAGCTTAAATAGGCTATCCCAATAACACCATCTTAGGAAAAGCCTTGACGCATAATTAGCGCATTTATTGACCACGAGTGTTTTATCAGTTTGGGCAGTTCTAATGCATGTGTGACGTTCAATACATAAAGTTTTTAATTTAATACGCTACGACGTGGACTCGACCTAGTTTACGCGGGGAGTAATTCATTGCAAGTTTAAAAAGTAAAATGCAAATGAAAAGTCCTCGTGAGGAAAATACAGAGAAGCCAGTCTACTCTCAACCAAACAATTGGCACTTATTCTATGTAAACAAACATCCATTTTCAGAGTAAATTATTTCTCAACCGATCAAGTCAGACTGTTCCAACCCAGCGGTTATCATAAATAATAGACACAACAACTTTATTCAGATAAAACGAAGGTCTAAATATATTCTTACACGCATAGGCTACACTAGATGTTAATATTAGCCTATAGGCTGTAATTATTGCTTTTGAATTAGTGTAGCAAAATGAGTCCAAGCACATTTAGGCTACTTTACATTTACTACAAGCTCCCTATCTAGTGACCATACCGACCATACCATATCGATTTTTCATCGCATTTAAACAACGATAATTAGCTAAACTATTCACATTAAAATAATAATAATAATAATGTCTACTTTATGAATAGTTTTTAAAAGTAAGGACTTCCCCGGTTGTCACCGGATTTTTTTTTTGGGGGGGGGGGTTTAGGCTACTCAGATATTACTGGGTACTTTGAAGGTCCAATGGGAAACGTGTTTGTGAAGATTATTATTTGTACAAGTCATCGTACAATCTGAAGGAATCTGAAGCATCTGGACTTGGTTTATCATAGCTGAAGACTTCCGTCTTCTGAAAGTCTTCGACATGAACTCAATGGATATTTATCACGTTACTCGCGCCATCTTGTGGACAGCTTGTGTAATGGCAGCCAATGGTTGAGCTCACACACACACACGCACACACACACACACACGTTAAAATTATATAATAAATGTAGTGTGCATACAAGTGTTCACATATTTTTTTTATTATGCACATTGCACATTTTAATTTTAGTAAAAAAATGTGCACACCTATAAAAATATAAAATTTAATAATTATTTTGTCTTTTTTTTTTATATATTCTAATATTGAAAATGTGGCAAAACATGTTTTTGCGATGCCAGAGATGTGTTTGTGCATACGTGCATGTGTGTATGCGTGAGAAACTCTGTGTGCTCGTGTGTTTTTGTGTTCTGTGATAATTTTAATGTGTGATTATGTTGAATTCTAATCAAAGTCTGTGCAGAATGAGCCTACTTTCTCTCAAACTGTTTGGACATCTGTCATGGCCTCTAGACATGCCCAGAGTGAGCGTGTGTGTGTGTGGCTCTGGCACTTTCTCTGTGGCAGCGGGGGCTGCTGAAACATTAATCACAGATTATTTTCACTCTTCCATACGTCAGGCAGCATCTTAATGGCCAATGAAACAGATCTGAGAAACTGGCATGAAACTGGGTCATGATCAGTGAGCTCAGTTAGTCTCAAACAAAAATTTCCCACAGTACACATTTAGTTGATTTAAATCATTCTGGAAAATATTAGGACATGGAGCAAAATGTTTACAATACAAATCATACTTCAGTAACAAAATTGGAAAACTGTGTATTTTTAGTGACCTAGTGACCTCTTGTGCAGGAAGTGGGAATTGTTACCGCTCTACATGAACAGAAACACTGGATCTCTGGCTGCAACTGTCTGCAAGTTAAATTGTATGTGCTTGTGTTGAATTTCTTAACTAATATTTATAGCACTAAAATGAATAACATTAAATGGAATAAAATCATTTAAATTATTAATAATTTAATTATTTTAATAATTATTCTGTCTGCCTTAATTATCAAGCGTACCGTTAGTTCTGGAAGGTCACGTTAGTCAAGCTCGCATCAGCTGACCTTCAGCTGATCCCCATCTACCTATGGGACTACGACACCTATCTAAGCATTCATATATAAGGTCCCTCAGTATTATCAGCAGTTTTCGCATTGCTCAATAGCTAATTACCCTCCTCCATCCCCAGCTCCTCCTCTGTCAGTCGGGATTCAGCCTTCTGATTCTCCTTGAATCAGACTAATTCTAAAATGTGTACATAAAATGATTGAACTTTAACAATATCTGCAATACATTTATATTAGTTCTGTTCTGTTTACCCTGGGGGGTTATCGCTGCTCTCCCTGCTCTCATCCATGCTAGGCTGCATGGAGGCGCAGGGAGTTCTTGCCCAGAACAGAACCATACCGCCAATCCAAACTGTATGCTAATTGTCAATCATCTTTGACAATAGTGGTCCTGACAGAATTATGTTTTTATGTTTTATATTTACATTTTATTTGATTATTAATGACAGTTAATTACTGTATAGAGAGAGAAAGAGAGAGAGAGAGATGGATGGATGGACGGACGGACGGACAGACAGATAGATAGATAGATAGATAGATAGATAGATAGATAGATAGATAGATAGATAGTTTGTTTCTTAATTGTTTTATTGTTTACATGTTGCAGACAGTAGACTATTCTAATGGCAGGCTCCCTTTGTGACAACTTTTTCCCACTATACTGGGGCATGTTGTCACTACTTGTTCTCATTGACTTGTAGCCTATTTTTCCTGAGCAATAATAATGTTCAGTATAGCCTTTTTTGATATAACTGATAATGAAATCAACCTACCTCAAGAAATATATATTTGCTGGAGTAAAAACTGTAATAATTATCCCCTGCTTATCATTTTACATCAGCCATATTTTAGTTTATTGTTTCCATTTGTTTATTTATTTATTTAATTGTATTTTTTGCAGGGACTTTTAGTTTAGGGACTTTTTGTCCGCCATTTTTAGATAAGCTTTTTCTGTTGCCTAATGTCAGTCTTTGGACGATTTGTGTATTTTTGCACAGTTTTAAACGCAATTTTGTGTAGCTAAATTATTGATAAACCTGCGTTTTAAACTATGTGTCAGGTCTCATTCCCAAATACGTCTTCAAAATAAGTTTTAAAAATATCCTTCATTTGCTTTAAGGTAAATTCATGGTTGTTTGTTTGTTTGTTTGTTTGTTTGTTTTCCTTTTGATTCAGGTCACTGCAGTGCTGATAAAACTTAGTTCTCAGTACTGCCTTAAGAACAGGTTTGTTCACTGTGATAATTGATTTTTCATTTTTATTTTATTTAACTGTGAGAAGTGTTTGCCTCTGTTCTGATTTGCAGTTAATAATTCCTTTAAGAGTTTGTTTCTATGGAACTTTCTTTACAGCTTCTCTGAGACAGCAGTAGTAACCAGGGGGCGGGGCTTAGCGAAGGGTCAGTCACAGACAGGTGTGTTAGACTAGAGCAGGGCTGCGACTAAACTCTGCAGGAGCTGGATTGAGCACCGCGGTTCTTGAGGATGTCAGAAACTGTGAGTATCACGGTAACATGGAGTTAAGTAGCCTACTGTTTGACCTCGTCTCAAAACAAGCTGCAACGTTTTGTTATTCTATTTCCAGTCAACCTGAAACGAGCTTTTTGTTCTCTTTTTAGTGTTTAAGTGTATGTTTGACTGACCAGCAGGGGGCGCACTGGACCGCCTCTCATCACGGCATCGGTCGGGTTGTGGACTATCTGACTTCGCTTTCTTGCAAGTGACTTTGAGGTAATGTTTGCTTACAGCAATGACAGATTTGTAGCGAACAAAACCCTCTCGTGAATAAACAGTTCCACCTATCATCGCCTTCTCCAGCTATTTATTGACTTTGCAAGAATGACTTTTAAAATGATATAACAAAGCTATTGATTA